AATAGGTGGAAATATAATTGGCTGTATCGGCCATTGATCGACAGGACATAGGGCTAACTTAGAAAGACCTTTAATTATTGGTGTGTGGTAGCCAATACAGGGTAGAAACAGCTGATTCCGTGAACTTCGCATGTCACGTGTGTGTAGAGACCACTGTCCATTGATGCTGGTTCCTGACTCTTGTAAAAGCATTCAGTTGTTTCAGTATGTGGTGTGTCAAGAGCAGAGTAACTGATAAGATCATTTTGTCACAGGATAGGAGCACCGCTTTAACACTATTCAGGTTGTTGGGATAATTAACTGATATAATTATACCACTAATAAATTGAATAGAATATGTATAAGTCCACATTTCAGGACAGATACAAGATGCAGTTGTTTATATATTGGTAAAAATGATATATAAATGTAAATCATGCAAAACCATGGAGTTACACATATGTAACAATGTAGCAAGAATACAGCAAACAGAATGGCAGGCTGGCCTGTGCACGTAGGACAGACACAGACAAGCATGCTACTGCCAACTGCTTCACAATTATTTCTGATCTATACAAAGATCTCCTTTTCTTCCGAAAGAAACAAAACATGTTACAAAGAGATCTGTGTGGTAGGGGATACATTCCCATTATACATATACAGGGCAGGTCAAATTAAAACAAAGAAAAATAGACTTGCAAAGAATTGGGCTGCCTATAATAGCGTTTCTTTTTATGAAAGGGTAATCTTGACTGAAAAGGGATATTGATTATATATAATAATGTTAATTTACTTCTTCTGCAGGACATTATCTACTTAAAAGGTGGTGTAATTATCTGAACACATAATATTCTTACACATTGTCAGCCTTCTGTAGCTCCTAATATGTAGTTATTCAAATATGGGCCAGAGCCCTTTAATGGTTCAAAAATTACATACCCTTTCTCCACGTGGTCCTCTATCTCCAGTGGGGCCCTAAAAGAAGACAAAAACAGAAAAAGAACACATGTCTAAGTAATTTACAGTGAACAGGCAAACCAATTTTGAAAATAATGAGTTGTTAAGGCTGATCTAAAATATTATCAAACAAAAGCCAAAAGACCTGAATAAAGCAGTGGATGATGGCACATTTTTTTGTTAAAACTATATGCAAGATTTTCCAACTGAAGGTCTAGAGGATGCTATAGTCTCTGGTGGTCAAATCAATACTATCCACTGTGTTTTTAGTAAAATGATTGTTATAGATAAAATAACCATATTGTTACATCTTTACCACACAGCAACAGAGTCAGATCTTTAAAATAAACTTTGATCTACTACTTATAATTAATATAATATGCATTTTCCCATCAGAATATAAACAAATATTTAGAAAGTCTTAGTAGTAGTATGTAAATCATCGATTTATATAACATAAATGTAATTAGAGATGCTTCTGGAAGATAATAAAACTTAATTACATCAAACATTAACACTATTCTATTTTCTGGTTTGGTGAATATGTATTTGCATGGGTAAAATCTTGACAAAGCATTTTCTTCCTATAGTTCATTTTAAACTTTGTCAAACTTACATTATTCTGGTAATATCAAATACTTATGGAGAAGTATTATACTCTTACCTTTCTTGCAGATTCCTAGGAAAGAAAAGGTAAATAATGATTATTATGGGAAGAATTATGCATACATTCATAGATTAAAGGTGATTAATATTATCATATTATATACAAATTTATCTATAGATGTCATCACATTATTCTCTATTATCTTAATCTACTATTTTGTAATAAAATATAAAAGTTTACCAATAAACAAAATGCCGTCTACAAAACCAAATATATATACTTATAACTATGTTGCAATTTCAATTCATGAGCAAAGAATTTATTCATTTATTCATAATTCTTTGCAAATGAATCAAAAGGGATTGTTTTAGAAAAAAAAAACCAACCTCATTAGCTCAGCGAGATCTTGTACTTCAGAGTAGCTGGTGCTAAAAGCCAAACTTCATCTGGCCTATTTACTCTCTGTTCCCCATGGGTATTTTATGAGACTGGCCTTACTCAGTAGCTCCACCCACTTAGAAAAATGTGGTAGCATTTCAGTAGAAACCAGAAGGGTTTGGGCCACTCTACCCTTTCATAATTTCCTTGGGAAGTCAAACTGGCCAACTTTGCTCCTTAGGAAGCATTGCTGAGAGCAAGGCAATCAAAGTAGGCATGTCTTATTTTTCTGAAAATAATTTTACTCACCTCTTGTAAAGCTATAAAGGAAAGAAGAAAATAAGAAATAGTTATTTATAACATTTCATTATCAGTTACAGTAATTAACAAATGATACATGGTTTATAAGATTGAATTACCTGACTAAAATACCCCTTCTATTTCTTCTGAAGAATATACTGATAATTTCCAAATTACTCAGGTCAAAGACACACCAGGGAGCATCAAGATGATTTGCTTACAGTTTTAATATGTAAATATATTTTGAATTAAATGGTTAATTATTTACTACTTTATAAATACTATGAAACATTAATGTGTCTGGAGGACATTTAAGATGCTCAGCAACTATGGTGGAAGTGACCTAGGTAGATCGTTGACTCTCACACCGATTGATTGATGAGGAAATAATTCATGGCTTGGATAGCCTTTAATACACAAAAATCGAAATAAACTTAGGAGAGGATGCATCTTAAAGCAGACTTTGTTTTCATAAAACATTGGAGTGACTTAGCCCTTTTCCCCCAAAGGTCTAATTTACATACATGAAAGCAAATTGATTCAGGAATCGGATTTTTTTTTGCTTTAAATAGTTCACTTAAATTAGATAAGGTCATTTGATTAACGTGCATTGAATTTGTTCCCTAAGAAGGATCATTTTATAAAAAGAGGAAACTATGAATTAAGATTTTTTTAGAAATAATGAGAACAATAAATGCCCACCTCCTCTCCACAATTACTATGAGACTTTAAAGGCTGAGCTCCCACCCTGCAGTATAATTGTAGGTAATGTGGTCTATAATTGTGGTTGGACATGCTCCAGGGTGATTCACCCCGAAAAACTGCTTGAATTTGGTGGTCAAGACCTATGTCATCTGGAATGAGAACATCTGTTGCAATGGTCACCATTTGGAGGGTGGACTGCCCCCAGCCTTGACATTTGAGGGCAACTGATGAGAATTACTGTTAAATTGGATAAATAATATGTTTGGTTTATTGTGTCCATTGACGAAAGAATAGTTTGCCTGAATTGATGAAGAGAAGCCCACCAGCCTTACAACCTTTGGCGACTTTCCTTTTAATTACTTAGTTGTGAACCATTTGAACAATGTGTGGTGGGCAATGTTTCTTCCACACACTGGTTAGTGTTAATTAGAAGGTGCATTGACATTCCTGTCTCTACTTTCCCAAGGGCTATTATACTTTTCTGTGGGAATCTACTCTCTTGCTCTCTGATTTCGTATAAAGCGAACTGATACCGCTAACTGTTCACTGCAGTTTCTCCTGAGTATCCTCGGTGGGTATATAAAAGTGGATGGAGGGAACATACACGCAACACAAATCAGACAATGGTAGACACACGGCATGTGGGTGGGGCTAGCTTTTGAAGTACTGGATGTGGCCAGGCACCCCTCAACCCTCATCAAGCCAACATCTTTGACTAGTTAAGTTATGAAGCAGTTTGCAAGATGAAACCTAACTGATTTTCATTCTTAAGACATGAAAGTCTAGTCATGCACGCTTGAAATGAAAAGTGGTGTTGAAATTGGCACATTCAATTCCCATACTCGAAGCCACACAGCAAATGAGTAAGAGCCTCATGGGAAGAATTCCAGGCTCTCGAAGGTTGACATTTCTCAAATCTGTTGTTTTCATGTCTGATTACCAGTAGGAACGTGTAGAGGGGTAACTAAACAGAGCCGATTTTAGTTAAGAATTACTATTTCCATGACCATGCAATGAACGGGGAAGTTAATTTAACGACTCAGAAGACAAAAGTAGAAGCCTAGACTCCCCATTTCCTCACATACTCCAACTGACCCCTCCACATAAGGCCCAGAAGTGTAAATCTCTCTTTGGACCTAGGGAGTCTTTAACTGGAATTCCATCATCTTAAGGCCCGGTCCCTGTGCTTTCATTTTACTCCCTCCAGGGGGCGCCTTTTCATCATTATCTTCATCAACGTCATCCACCAGCACCGACGCCCACGCCCACAAGAAAATGGAGACGGGGTGAGTTTTGTATTGTTACATTTAAGGACTTTCTAAGCTAGGCCTCAAGTTTCACAAGGTGACCACGAACACACTTCTGGGGATTGAAGAGTGGGGTGCTCTGATTCTGTCAGTTAGTGTTTGTCTCATTTTGAGGCAAAATGCGTTGCCTCCTTGGGAACTTCAGTCACCCGGGGAATCCAGACCAGCAGTCTAGTGTAAGGGTAAGCATTCCCGACTCTTGGCAACCGTCAAGCCTTCCATGTTTCCATCCTTTTAAAGTACTTTTCTCTTGTCTGCCCGGGTGTTTCCCCACAGGGCAGTGAACGTCCTCACAAGCTGCAGATGGAAATGGTCGAAGTTTCCCCTTGACAGGTCAGGGCGCCCACCTATCCTGCCTCTCTCCTTCAACTCCCCCAAACAAGCGGAAGACACTTACATTGGCATGTTGCTAGGCACGACGTTACTGCAAGCAGCAACAGAGTCCGCATATTCACAAAGCTGAGCATGTCTACCACTTAGACATGCAGACTCCTTGTGTGCAGAGCCCCTGTGTCACCAGCGGAGGTATCACCTGGCGGGCGCTGACATGCAGTCGTGACCGGTCCCTCCAACTTAGCCGAAAACTCCTGCTGCCGTGGTGCTAAAATAATAAAGCCCAGACTTGCCCTATTTATATGGCAAAAGTTTCCCCTGTCGATGGGTGCCTCCAAAAACGTCTCCACCAATGGGAGAGCTGGGGCCAGGGGCCCAGCCTCAGTGCTGGGAGGAGACTGCGGGGGCGCAGGGGAGAGAGAGGAGGGGGGAGGGACGTGGCCACGGGGCTTCTTAAATTGGTTCCATTCTTTTTGAGGACGTGGACACTTTTGAGGCTTTCGAGGGGAAAGTCTGACTCTCTGTCTGCATACCTCCGCCCTCCCCAGCCACCCGCCCTCTCCCGCCCTTGCCAAGTTTGGAACCACTTGAGGACACCTACGTGGGCACTTTTCAGATCTCTGGGCAGAGAGGCAGGTGTTGAGGGACATGAGGAGCGAAGGTGAAAAAGCAGGAGCTGTCCAGTCCTGCTTCACTTTGTGCCCTGCGGGCCGTCGGCAGGCTGGAGGGGGCTGGGGCTGGAGGGGGCTGGGGCTTGAGAAACGAAGGGCGACAGCGTGGCGAGGTCTAGAGCAGCCTTCAGGGGTTGACTCCACCCTGCCCCCTCCCCTGCTTTGCTTTGGGGCCTGCCTGCCCAATTCTCATTCTCAATCTCTCTCTCTCTCTCTCTCTCTCTCTCTCTCTCTCTCTCTCTCTCTCTCTCTCTCTCTCTCACTCTCTCCTGTTGATGGTGATGGAGCGGACATTCCCATCCAAAGGATAAACTTTGAACTATTAGATTTGGTTTGTTCAACCCCTCAGGAAGTCCTTCCCTTCCCAGTTCCAGCTCTGTCCACAGACCCTTTGCAGGATTTCCAGCCATGCTCAGAGCCTGAACCAGATAATGCCTCAGTGAGCATACAGCCCCCTTGACCTTGCTGCTCCTTCATAACCACTCTCAGCCGTTGCCCAGTACCTCTCTGCCTTCATCCTCACACCTCTTTCTCCTAATTCTGTTTAGGAGAAAATGTGAAAAGGAGTGTTAAAAGTTTTTATTAGGCACCTAGGATGTACATCTCAACTGGCCTCTCCGGACAAAAGTTAACTCTCCACAGACTCCCCTTCCCCCTCCCTGGCCTTCATAACACCGGCTCAGGGATGAGACTTTGATCCTGAGGCACTGGAGTAGAGGACCTTGGTTTTCCAGGGTGGTGGCAATGACACACTGAGTGCTCCTTCCCCAAGCCTCTTAGGCTGTCTTCCAAGATCCCGGGCCCCTTGGTCTGCCAAGCATCCTTCCCGAGGCAGCAGAAACCTAGTCTAAGTCCTATTCTGTCCCAAAAATCACATCCTTAGGCCAACTTTATCTTCTTGAAGCAGAAGTGGGTGGGCTCCTTGGGAACCTTCTTTCTTCCCCCACCCCCTCCTTTTCTGCTTCCTGGTGAGGAAGAATTTCTGCCTAAGTAGGTTGACTCAGTCAGCAGCTGCTATAAACCAGAGGGACTGGGTATTGCTAACTGGCTTCTCTTTCTAAACTTAAAAAAGAAAAAGAAGTAGAAAGAAGGATAACTAAAAATTTCAATAACGTTATTTTTATCCAATTAAAAACACGTATTTGAGAGACAAGCGAGGATGCGGTTCTGAAATAAAGTGTAGTAAAAGGTTTCTGAAAGAGCACCAAGGAAAGAAAAACTTCAAAACTATACATCTGATTGTTTTCCTGCATTAATCAGAAGCACAAGTTATCATTTTTGCTAATGTGCTGGCTTGCTTTTACAGAGTGTTGCTTGTGCCTGAAAATTAGATATTAATTCTGAACAAAAGACTCAGGCAGGTAAGAAAATAGGTTTATGAAAGAAATTCCCTAAATGTCCTTCAGGAAAGTTATTGAGTAACTCTTTTTGGGGTCAACTTGACCAAATCACTTGTTTTGCCATAGCTACCCAAGACCGTAAACATTCCATTTTGCTCTGTGGTTTTCTGTGATTGTCAAAATAGTCTCAAGAGTAGAACATCCTTTGAAAGTTTGATTATATTTTCATTTTTAGGAAAAAATAAATAAAGAAAAAACCCTATGTGAATTTTTGAGAATTAGAGAACCCAGTACATAAATCCCCTCCCCCAGGGCTGGAAAGTGAACTGAGAGCTCATAAAGCATTCCTGGAAACTGATGCAAATACCAAGGCTCCAGGACTCCCTCCCTGCTGATGTGGCAGGGTTTGCAGCCGGCAGCCTCAGCACGGGGCGGGAAGCCCTAGACAGAGCAGAGAGTGAGGAATGAGCACTCTCTCTCCCTCCTTCTCTTCTCCTTCCCCCCTTTGTCTCCCTACCTCTGTCGCTTTGTCTCTGTCTCTCTGTTGCATATGTGTTGTGTGTGTGTGTGTGTGTGTGTGTGTGTGTGTCTGTGTGTTTGAGGGAGAGAGAGAGAGAGATATCTTATTGCTAATTTGGATGGTCTCCCTCAGTGATCACCTATCGGGAACAGATCATCCTTCACCGGATCTTTGTCTATATCAGGAGACACGCTAGTGTTCTCTAATGCTGGCCTCTAGACACTGTCTAAATATTCTGTGTATTAAAATAACAAATGTTTTTAGTTAGTTCTTTGTTGTTCTAGTTGACGGGTGGGGTGGTTGCTGAGGGAACTGGGAGAGCTGAAGCAAACAATTGAACTGAACTGACGGTCCAGGTCCAGATGATATGTAGGGAGAGGGAAGGAACAAAAATGGAGTAACCGGGCTAAGGAGCCGGGGATAGTCAAAGCCTTCCATGGCTTTGCTGCTAGAACACTGACACCCATGTTCAAAGCCCTGTACTGTTTTCCGAGGAGAGAGAGCTTTCATGAAACGGTGGGAGCTGAGTGGGCCTGAGGGCAGCACGGAGGCTCCTGTCATTGGCTATCTAAGGAGAAGCAGAAGCGGAGCTGCAGTCCCTCAAGCAGTGTCTAGGATTGTGCTGGGTACTGGACAAGTTGGAAGCACTAGAAACCGAATGACTAGGCACTTCCCTCTGTGTGTATGTCGGGGGGGGGGGCGTTATGGTGTGCTGGAGGATAGAGAAAGTGCATGAAACATTCTGAGTTCATGGGAGCTCCAGATCTAGGTGGTAGGATCAAGGCAGGCTTCTCTGGAGCTGCAGTGTCTTATCAAGTCTCCACATAAAAATGTTTTATAAGGAAAATGGAGAACCAGCATGGAAGTTAACCCCTATGATCTGATCTGAACACTTGGAAGGCTGTGGGAGGAGCGTCTCAAGTTCAAGGCCAGCCTGGGATATATAGCAAGATCCTGCCCAGAAACAGCAGAGATGGGGAAGCGGTGAGGGGTAATCTGAAGGTCTCTGGAGGAGCCTGGGCTAGCGCAGTGCTGTGAGCACTGAGAGCAGAGACTGAACGACAGGAATACTTTACAGGAGGAAGAAAGCCGCTTCTATGCTCACTTGTGGAAACAGAGCGGGAGGGAGGGTGCCAGAAGCACCAGCGGCTTCAGGTGATGAAACTGACTGAAGCGAGGGGCCATTTAATTGGGAACATTTGAGAAGAGGATGATTAGTATGAGGGAAATGAGGAGACTCAGCCAGGTATGGGATATGCAAATGGATAGTGTCTGAGGTCCACACTTCGTGTTGGTCTTAATTTATGGGTAAAAGAGTCATGGGATTTCTGATATCATGCTATGAAACCCTGTAGGTTGCATGTATGTATGGAAAGCACAGTAGGAGTAGCGGAAAAGACAATGGTAAGCGCCATCATGTGAGGACGAGAATGAAGAGGGAGGCGAGCTCTCCCTGCCCTGGATGGGGGACACCCAGAACATCTCTGCCACCGAGGTTACAGGGCACAGGTTGTTGAGGAGAGAAAGAGCAAAGGTTTTGCAGGGCTGACAAGTTTCCTATTTGTCTGGGAGGAAAATCAAGGTTAAGAAAATATATAGACCATCACCTTGGGGGGTATTGGTGAAGGAGCTTTCCTGGAGTGAGAGTCAGGTGGAGAAGGCGAGCGAGAGAGGAGTGAGGCAACAGACCATGGGCTACAGGACTTTAGCTCCATCATGGCTGGGGGGAGCCAGGTGTAGGTTGAGGGTAAGGCTAGATTAAAGTGCTCGGGGATCATCCTCATTTAGGATAAAATCACCAGGAGTAGCTGTGTAATCCTGATGCTAAACCCCACTTGAGAAACCTTCAGCTTCTTCACATAATGGCATTTGCTTTCGGGCTTTGAGGCAAGGGACATTCAAGTGCATATGGATTTTCTTCCCAAGTTGGTACTGAATGAATAATCAAGTGTTTCTCGTGAAGTCTCTTCCAAACGAGTAGACAGACAATTCATCCCACCTCTTATGAATTCCAGTTTCATCGGCAGGGTTTCCATTTTCCAAGCTTAGAAATATGGAGTAGACGCCACCCCTTTTTTACGCTGACGTCTGCGTGTGCTCCTGTAGAGGCTGCATAGAAATAGGTGTTTTGCAGTACCTTGTTATTGACTATGCTCAGCCCCATAACTCAGAAGGATGCACTTGGACTCACAAATTTTAACTTTCGATTAAATCTACCTCTTTTGAAGACGAGGTACTGATTGCCTTTCTTCAGGCAGTGCCTGAGCCATCCTTCAGCTGAAGAGTCCCAGAATGCTGATGCATTCTGGATGTCCTCTCTGACTTATAAGAATTTTGGTTGACTTGATTTCCAGACTCTTAATTTTAAAATTCTTTTCAAGTGGCTGGGGAAGAAAATGATACTTCTATTGCAGTTGCAAGAAAGAGTCTAGATATTAATGATTGATTGATCAAAACATGAAGTTGAGTAAAGACATATAGTCTGTGGTTAATATATTACATATAGAAAAATGACAAGGGTTTAATTTATGTGCTATCACACATTTAGTAGTCATATAATCACATTTTATTGAAATAACTAGCAAATTAAACAGTACCAACGAGCTTTTTAAATATCTAAAAGTTCCAATTAAGGACCTAGCTGGGGATATCTCTCTGGACCCCTGGGAACCCCTCTAGAGTCAAGACTTTTGCCAACCCTAAAATGGCTCCCTTAATTAAGATATATACTTCCCTGCTCCCATATCTACTCTTCCTTTATACCAACCATCCCATTCCCCCAAGCTCTCCCCATCCTCCCCTTCTCACTTTTCTCTCCCCATCTTTCCTTTCCCCCATCCTACCCCACCCCCCAATTCCCAATTTTTGCCCAGCAATCTTGTCTACTTCCAATATCCAGGAGGATAACTATAAGTTTTTCTTTGGGTTCACCTTCTTATGTAGCTTCTCTAGGATTGCAAATTAGGCTCAATGTCCTTTATTTATGGCTAAAAACAAATTATGAGTGAGTACATCCCATGTTCATCTTTTGGGGTCTGGGTTACCTCACTCAGGATAGTGTTTTCTATTTCCATCCATTTGCATGCAAAATTCAAGAAGTCATTGTTTTTTTACCGCTGAGTAGTACTCTAATGTGTATATATTCCACACTTTCTTCATCCATTCTTCCATTGAAGGACATCTAGGTTGTTTCTAGGTTCTGGCTATTACAAATAATGCTGCTATGGACATAGTTGATCAAATACTTTTGTAGTATGATAGGGCATCTCTTGGGTATATTCCCAAAAGTGGTATTGCTGGATCCTGGGGTAGGTTGATCCCAAATTTTTTGATAAACTGCCACACTGCTTTCCAAAGTGGTTGCACAAGTTTGCATTCCCACCAACAATGGATAGGTGTACCCCTTACTCCACATCCTCTCCAGCGGAGAGAGAGCCTGAAATGGCCCAATCCTATAGCCATACTCATGAATATCTTGCATATCACCATAGAACCTTCATCTGGCGATAGATGGAGATAGAGACAGAGACTCACATTGGAGTACTGGACTGAGCTCCCAAGGTCCAAATGAGGAGCAGAAGGAGGGAGAACATGAGCCAGGAAGTCAGGACCGCAAGGGGTGCACCCACCCACTGAGACGGTGGGGCTAATCTTTTGGGAGCTCACCAAGGCCAGCTGGACTGGGACTGAAAAAGCATGGGATAAAACCAGACTCTCTGAACATGGCGGACAATGAGGGCTGATGAGAAGCCAAGGACAATGGTACTGGGTTTAGTTCCTACTGCGTGTACTGGCTTTGTTGGAGCCTAGCCTGTTTGGATGCTAACCTTCCTAGACCTGGATGGAGGGGGGAGGACCTTGGACTTCCCACAGGGCAGGAACCCTGACTGCTCTTTGGACTGGAAAGAAAAGGGAGGCGGGGAGGAGGTGGAATTTTTTAATAAAAAAAATCTAATTAATAATGAACAACACAACTACCTACTATACTGCATGCTAAGTATTGCATCGAGGTAGAAACTTTAAACTATCTCAAATCATCAGCAATCATTATCTAAATCTTGGTGGAGCATGTTTTGTTATTTCCAATTTTAGAAGGAAAAATACTGAGACTTAGACTTTCTTGATATGCCACAATGGGCCAGCTCCCCACAGCGCCACACACTTCTAAGCATCCTTATTCTCCTAATATTTAATACTTACCATCTATGACAAGCCTACATGATTGATTAATTGAAAGGATAAATTATACATTAGTGGCTTCTTTTGTTACACAGAAATTGCTTATTTAATGCACTCACCTATTCTTAGATCTAGCGAAGTATCTGCTAAGTTAAAGATATTCAACTAACAATTATTCAATAATGAAGTATAACTTGAAATAACACAATTGGAGAATATGGCATTAAATATAAATACTAGCTGTTTCTGTCAGTGATTTTTTAAAACTATTTAATCCACACATTAATAAAATATATTGATAGAGGGCCAGTCAAGCTAGTTCACTGAAAAGTAACATCTTATTATTTCCTAACATTTTATCAACCTTTTATTTTGTTAAGTCAAATGGAGACGCTTGAAGCTTTTGGAAGATAATTTCAACAACTTCCAAATCACTGTGGGCACAGAAGATGGAGTCAAGATTTATTTCTGCCATATTTCTAACAAGAGTCTGTAATGAAGAAGTCGTCCAGTAGTTACACAGATTGCTACATTTTCTAAGTGAACTCACATAGGAAGCTCAGGGCGTGGTGGCACAAGTTTGTAAGCCCTGTGCTGGGATGGCACAGACAGTCATATCCCGAGGCTCACTGCCAGCCAGTTTACTCTACTTGGCCAGTTCTAGGTCAATGAGAGATCCTGTCTCATAAAAAGAAGAAAGAAAAAAAAGTTCTTTGATATCTAAAGAACATTTTGTTCTCTGGTTTCAACATGGTTTTACACACATGTATACCTGTGCAGTCACACCGTGCAGTCACATGTAAAACATTTCAAATCTTCTCTTTTAGTTATTTTAAAATATGTAACACACTATAAAATACAAATATATAATTACAGCCACCATGCTGATGCCTCTTTATTGAAACTTTCTACTCTTGGATAATGTTTCTCTAGTCTCCTGTCCTCCACCATTTGATTCCACTCGGTTCTCTTTGTTTATGTAGATTAAAAGCTAAATTTTGGGGTATGCTATTAATTGCTTCTTACTGGATTTCAATTTGCAATGTGAAAAGAAGACACCTTTCTCGTTGATTTTAAACGTGTTGGAAATCATTTGGAGAAGGTGGCTTCTGTGGGGAAATGGGTGCCTAAGGACACACTTTCCCACTTCATGCAGGTTGACTGACTGGAGCAGATACTGAAGTTGGAGCTATTGAGTCTGGTGACAGCCTCGGCAATTCCACAGACCTTCTGACTCCTCCCCAGTACAGTGTACCTCACGTTAGAGCACATTGTGGACCCTGGGTGTCATTGCTCCTTACTAAGTAGGTCAGGTAAGGTAAGGAAGACTCCTGGTTCACTACAAACCCATTACTTACTGCACAAGATGCCCTCAAGGCCCATACTTCACAGACACATGTCTTCAATCTGGTATTTCTATGCCACGTTTCAATACTTGAATAAAACCATTACTTCAGAACCTTAAAAAAGGTGTCTGTGTGTGTGCATGTGTGCGCATGTGTGTGGTAGGGGTTTCTTTGGATCTCTTTCTCGTGTTTGAGCTAAATGATTCACCCAGTTTTACAGTTTACTGTATGTAATTCTTCTAATTCATGTTGTTATAGCTAAGTTTCTTCCCCTCCCCCCTTTTGTGTGTGTGTGGTGTGCCTGGTTTCTCCATGTCTGATAAGTCTGTGCAAGACACAATGTGGATTACTGGGACTGACACATGCTCTTGGCAGTTCTCCCAATCTTTCCGCTTCTTTTTGTCCAGGGAGTTGGAATCCCCTAGAACTCAGTGTCATGCTGTGTGTCACACCCATGGTTGTTGTGGATTTGCTGCCTGGGTCACCTACAGTGCTTCCCTAGGACTCTCTGCTCAGGCGTGTGTTCTAACACCTTCTCCTTGCAGGACCTCTTTGATGATAGCTCTGGTATGCGGTCTCTATGGATTCCCTGTTTCTAACTTCAGGTGCCTGCTGAAGCTCTTTATTTCTGTTCATCCCGATCCCAATCTCCAGTTTCCTCTCAGAATCTCCATCTGAGAAGAAGGGGATGAGTTATGGCAGTTTCCCTCATATCTTGTTTGAACTGTATGTTCAACAACAACTGTGGAGGTCTTGTTGTGTGGCCAGAATGGAGGTGGAGACAGAGAGATAAGACGGAATTTCCAATCTCAGGGAACTATCACTTGCATAGTAGATTTTCTCCAGTTTTGAGGATAAGGAAAATCTTTTTGAAGATTTTAAGAGGTAATAAACGTAGGAAGGGCTTAATGCAAACTCTCATAATCCTTCATTGTTCTGTGTCTGAGACACAATGTTCAAGACAGCACACCAAAGAAAGCATAGCCGGCACCCTTCGTGCCTTCCACCACTAGCAACGCTTGTGGTGCTTGTCCTTCCGTTCCCTATTGCTCACTCAATACAGATTTCCCCGGCGCTTTCTTCCCTGCCAGTTCACAATGAAATGCCCAGAAATTTGCTTTGTTTTACTGAAGACAATATACATGTGAAAACATCTTGCCAGTATCTGGCCTCCCCTCCCCCAAGTGTGCAATGCCTTTCCCATTTCATGATTTGGAATTGTTAGCTCCTGCATGCTCAGTCCCACAGATAACTCCCCAAAGCTCACACCATCAGGCCTTTCTTACACAAATACTGCTTCCCTCTGCTTCAGCAGCTATGGGAGTGCCATTTTCAGGTCTCAGTTTACATTTCCTCTGACTCCCTTATTTCCTAAAGCCTCCAGGCAAAAACCCCCTCTTATTGCCCTGCCATCTGCTTTACTCTGTGTTTTTAATCCCAACATCCAGTTTCCTTTTTCTAATTATCCCCATCAGGAGTGACTCATAATTCTTATATATTGGAGTGAAATTTCTGTGGCTGGGAGAAAGCACACAAAACTAAATTTACATTTATTAAAGTCCCTTGTTCCCTAAAATCCAGAGTGAAGGTAATTCACTAATGGGGACAGATTAATTTGCCTAGTCCAAGAAAACAATGCCTTCCTATTTCAAAGCACAGAGATTTTGTGTTTATGTAGTGAGTAATGTATTCCCAAGGCTCAAAGGAGTTCATAAGGAGAAAGGAGAGTGAGAAGTAACTGATGCTTTTTGAAACGGTGGAGGAAGCTTCTAGGAGGAGGAAGAACTGGAAGGGAGTGTTAGAAGACTTCAAGAGGCGGAAGGGTAATATTCCTAGGGAGATGACACAATGCACATAGAAGGAGGTGGTGTTTCTCATAACACACACCTAACCACTGTTATGATGATTTCCCACTCAACAGTGGTTCGCAGCTTAAGGTGATTTTGTTCCATGGGTAGTTTTTGGCCATCTTTTGAGTCATTAGTGATGTACATGGGTACGAGCAGGAGTGTGGTGTCCAGGGTAAAAGCCAGGATACTGCTCAACATCCTTTGGTACACAGAGGGAAATGATACAGAGCTTTCTCCATTCATGTCAGCAGTGACACAAAGGAAGGAAGACTCTTGAGGGCTGGGACCTCCCTCACCTGTGTCATTCCTGACTGTGTCTATGCCATCTGTCAGGTTTGGAATAATTGTTGACACTCGGGTGACATTTTTTAAGAGATCGGAGAAAATAGAAATTTAGAATTAGAAGTTGAGGTCTAATGAAAGGGTATTTGGAAATTCAAGTGGTTACCGAGACAGAGAGAGATCAGGAAGGACATCTTGTGGCACATTCAAGGATCCTCTGATGTCTAGTCAGTCCCTGAAAAGCCACTGGAGGATTTTGTGCAGGAGACTATGACTACCTGGCTTATGCTTTAGCAAGCTACAAGGCAGCAGCGGGAGGAGCCCACTGCTCTTTTCTCAGCACCACTGTTAGAATTATCTCCCACTAGAACAGTAGCTCTCAGTGTAAGACAAAGCATTTACTTAGTAAGGGACTATGATACTGTAGGCAAGATAGTCTAATTACTTCTCTCTCTTTCTTTCCCTCCCTCCACCCCCCTCCCCTCTTTCTCTGTTTTTGTCACAGGATCTCTCTATGTAGCCTTGGCTGTTCTGGAACTTGCTTTCAAGATGGCCTCAAACTCAAGAGATCCACCTGTCTCTGCCTCCCAAGTGCTAAGATCAAAGGCATGTACCACCACTGTCTGATCTTGTTACTTTTCTTTTGCTGTGACCAAAAAGCAACTTTGGGAGGAAAGGGTGTATTTGGCTTACACTTCCAGGTCACTTTATCAATGAGGGCACTCAAAGCAAGAACCCCAGGCAGAATCTTGAAGCAGAAATCATAGAGAAAGGTTGTATGCGGAGTCATTTTCTGCCTCCAACTTCACTCTCTTATATAGTTTACAATCACCTACTTAGAGATGGTCCTCCAACATCAATTAACAATCAAAAACGTCTCTCACAGCCATGACCACATACCAACCTGATAAATGCAGTTTTGCGGTTGAGATTCCTTTTTCAGTTGACTTGGACTGTGTAGTGATATTTCATTTGTATTTTAATATATCTTGCCTGAAGATGAGAGAGTGAAACAGCCACACTAGTCAACCATGCAGATAAGACAATGGTGACACACACCTTTAATCCCAGTAGCCACCACCATATAAACCAAGACGTAGTGGTGCACTTCTTTATTCCCAGCATGAGAGGATTATAAATCAGGATGAGAAAGGAACTCGCTCTTTCAGTCTGAGGATTTCTTAGAGGTAAAAACTCTCTAGTGGATTGACTGCTTTGCTTTTCTGACCTTCAGGTTGAACCCTAATATCTGTCTCTGAGTTTTAATTAATCATGCTGCATTTGGTGCCCGACATGGGGCTCAATCCCTTGACCCTGAGATTAAGAGTCTCATGCTCTACCGACTGAGGTATGAGGCAAGTTGACACTTAAAGCTAACAACGACACCAGAGAGAACATGGCCTAAGCTCAGCAGTGGAGACAGAGAAAAGAGGACCTATGGGAACACATGGCAAGGAGTTAGAATTGACGGGACTTGGTTATCAGATCAATATGGGATATAGGATGAGATTTTTGACTTAGGTATTGGTATTATTACATAGGATGAAAGAGACAGGAAGAAAATCAGGGTTTGTATGCTTGTGTTTATGAATTTGTCTTTGAACATTATTGAAGCATTAATTTAGGTCCCCACACTCAATAGGCCTTTGGTTAGTCCATTAACTAAGCTTTGAGGATATCAATATAAATAATCCTAGTTCTTAAAATGTTGCCATGTCCATAGTCTTGTCACAATAGACAAAGGTGGAAACAACTCCTTTCCGTTGACAGGTGACTGGATAAACTAAATGTAGTGTATTCGTAAAAGAGAATCTGTGGAGTCATTGGAAATACATACTATATAAGGAACCAAACTCTTGAAAACATGTCAAATGATGAAAATTATTTATAAAAGGTAAGATATTTAATGACACACTTACATGAAATATACAGAATAGATAAATCTATAGATATAGAAACCATTAACAGTGGGCAGGAGCCAAGGAAGAAGAACAATGGAGAGTGATTGCTTAATGGACATTAGACTTCTCTTGACAATGGTAAACTATTCTGGCTTTAGGTGGGGGCTGTGATAGCATACACTGTGAATATATTAGAGAACACAGAATTTCACATGTTAAAGTAACTCTCTTATAGTTTAAGATAGTTAATTCACTTAACAAAAAAAATTTGGAATTGCAGGTAAACACACCTCTCTTTTTATTAATTCAGGAAGCACTTGATCTGATGAGAAAGACACGTGAAAAATGCAGCGAATCAATGGCGACCATCTCTAATTGTCTCTGGTAATAGACAGTGTTCTTCAATCCAAGAAATTATCTGAAGAAAGCTCCAGCAACAATGAAACCCTTGGCAGGAGCCGGAGAGAGAAGTGAGTTAAGAAACCATTTTCTCTATTTTTATGGTGCTGATTGCTACACTTCATGTGAGGCATAATGGAGTTATTCTTGAGACATAAGTGAATCCATCAATGCCATGTGACTAGTCAATGGCTGAAGTCTTAAATAGGCAGGTTCACCAGGCCTTGGAACTCGAATCTGCTCCTTTGATAGCCTTGATCCCCAAGATCAAGATCCCTAAGAAAATAAAGGCAAATTATGGCAGCAATAAGTAAGATTACAGAATTTTAAAAAAAATATTCAAAAATATTCAAAAAATAAGAAGTGCAAAGTTAAGATATCACTGAAATTTCCTTTAATGTTACTTTAATCTTGAAAAATGTAAGAATTCTCAAATGTAAGAATGGAGGAGGCTGCGGAAATGGCTCAGCTGGTAAAGTATAGTGTAACCTGAGTTCAGATCCCCAGCATACACAATGAAAAAAGAAAAGAGAGGAGAGAGAGAGAGAGAGAGAGAGAGAGAGAGACAGAGAGAGAGAGACAGAGAGAGAGAGACAGAGAGACAGAGACAGAGAAAGAGAGAGACAGAGAGACAGAGAGAGACAGAGAGAGAAGTAAGCACGATAATAGGAAGGGCAGAGTGGTGCCACAATCCGTTGAAGACAAATCCTTAATGCAGAACGATAATATTTATGCTTTTATTTTCTGTTCTTGTTTTATAAATAAAATGTTGATTTTTATATGTTTATAAACCTTTCATTTATAGTAACAAAAGCCTAGAAGCACTGAATAGTTAGGATAGCTCTATCCCTTAGAAAAAGAATAGATACAAGCCTACTTTTCCAATGAATGAAACATTCATTCTCTTCTCTAGCAAAGCATGCATTGAAACATAGGCACTGATAGGATAGGGAATATGTTGATGAGAACTGCCTTCAAGTTATTCATAATTGTGAGTGTGTAACAAATAAACAGCATGTAGAGATTAGTATTAATGGTCTTTGCGTGGGAAAATAGAAATAAGACTAGTCCAGAGAGGTAAGGTCATTCCCCAAGGGATGAGGATAAATCTTGATGGGTCACAATCTCCTGGGTTTGCAATCAAGGAAATAATCAAGAAAATTAAAAAGCACAGTAATATGCTCCAATCAAATTATTCCCTCATTCTTTCATTAAACATGCTTTTTATGTCTCAGACATTGTGGCAAGCATTGAGAATCTAGTCAGAATGTTCCTGTCCTTACAACCTCATAGTCTATCAACAAACCAGACATTGAACAGCCTGGGCAGTAAATGCTGATGAACTGTCTTTCAGTAAGGATGCACGATGGCATGGGACACACAAATAGGCATGGCACACAAAGTAGATGGATAAGGAAATGACAAACTCAGCGGCATCTCAGTTAGCTGGGCCTGCTAGAACAATATACCACACACCAGGTAGCTTAAAACAACAGAAAGTTCCTTTTCTCTGTTGTTGTTTCTGAGAAGCCTAAGATCAAGGCGCCAGTGGGTTTGGTCCCCGGGGAGGGACCTCTTCCCAACTGACTTGCAGAGTGGGAATGGATGAAGAAAACTAACTAGCCTTAGGACATGAGAATCAGGACAGAGAACGAATCAGAATTGACTTCTCGGTTTCTGCCTTGTTGTGGTAACGTTTTTAAAATAAAGAATCCTGGTGGAAAAGAAGATCTAGGGATTTGAAAAAAACGATCTTGTCTTTGCGGCATATTTTGTTAGAAATGTTTGCATGTAATTTCCCACGGCTAGAAAGCGGGCCATCAGTGCTGACCTGATATATAGAATTATCCCTGTTCATTATTATTTATGTTTACATCACTTTCTTGATATTCACATGTTAACTTTCCAAAATTCTTTAATAATACTCATAGTCCTTGTTCTTTTTTTCTGGAACTTTTATTTTTTTATTTTTTATTTTTTTTAAAGTTTTTTTTTTTATTTATTTATTATGTATATAGTGTTCTGGAGACCAGATCTCATAGATGGGTGTGAGCCATCATGTGGTTGCTGGGAATTGAACTCAGGACCTCTGGAACAGCATTCAGTTCTCTTAACCTCTGAGCCATCTCTTCAGCCCTTTCTGGGACTTTTAATACATTTATGTTTTTCTAGATGCGCTCATGTGAAACCTCACTTCCAATTCTTCTAGAGTCTTAGTTCCAGTTATTAAATAATTTTGTTTCTATTTATGAATTCTTGTTTCACCCTTGTTATTCCACCTCTATCATACTAAACTTGGAAAGAAAAGTTTTATTAGGACACTGTAATGTATCAGATATTTAAAAGTGATCAAGTATAATACTATCAAAAGGACAAATAAGAAAGCAAAATGACAAACTGATATACAGTGGCTGTCCTAATGAAAGATGAACCAACTGAAGTCATGGAAGTAAAGGAAAAGTTTACATGAAAAGCAAAGCTCCAGCTAAGTAATAATGATGGCTAGGAATGGGGTGGCAGAGGAGAAAGGGGGGCAAAAGAGGGAAAGGGCCTGTGTGGCAAAGGAAGCCTCCACGCACAGTTACCACAGCTCGAGTAGAAAGTGTGTAACGGAAAGTTGCAGAAAATGAGGCTCCAACAGAAGCAGATCAGCACTCCATGACAGGAATGCATTGCACCACACAAAAACTGGCACTCCAATGTCCGAGCTACTCTGGCCATGTTTATTACTGCTTTGGTGTTTGATAAGTGTTTACTTTACATAGTGTTTAGAATGATCTTTCAAAGCATGTCCTATACATTATCCATTTAGCCACGACAATGTTCCTTTGGGATATGCTTGACAATTTTGTCAATAGCAGCAAGCAGCCAACTTGATGCCCTATGTCTTCCAAATCAAATTACCAAGGCCTCATCATTCATCTATTCCCTTTATGCATTTCTGCCAAACTGTGTTCCAGTTGTAATTGTCTTGCTCACAGACTTTCACTGGCTCCTTATGTCCTACATCAGCAAGAAGAGTCTCTTTGCTTGACATTGTAGGGAGTGTCTATAGAAATTAGAATCAGCATATGTGCCTAAACATATTTTCTACTAAATAAAACGCTTTATATTATCTATTGCTGCAGAGGAACTATGCTAAAATTAAGTGGTTTACAAAGGAAGTATCTTTTTTATCATATCTTTCAGTTTATGGCCCTGGAACTCAAACAGGGCTTAGATGGATCATTATTCTGCTTTACCTTGCATTTGCTGTGGTCACTGGGGATCATCTGGCAGCCGGTCTGGGAGGAAGCATCCAAGATGGATTGTTTACATGTCTGACACAAGGCTAACTAGAAGACTAGGCTCCGCTGAACTGTTGACTGAAATGTTTGCATCTGGCTCTGAGACAAAAATGAGCTCTCCACCTTTGGTTTCCAGAGAGAATCTTTAAGAAAGAAAAGTGAATATTGCAAGACTTAAGTCCTAGCCTTGGAAATTTGATATCATCACTTCCATTGTATCCTGTGATAAGGACACACACACAATGCTGACTGAGATACAAGAAGACAGGTTATAGAGTAGATTACCTGGAGGCATGCTTCATTAAGGAGTGCCCTTTGAAGATTAATAAACACACTTGACTGTACTGAAATGAATTTTCATCGCACTCACCTGTGCTACGTCTGGACTATAGTCATTTTTATTTTTCCACCAGACTCCATCCTAACACTCAATGATAGTCGAGTTTCACACTGAATATTTTAAATCTTTTGGTGGATTCTCTAGTTTAATTTTTTTTTTCCCATTGTTTTTGAAAGACAGTACCATTTTTTAGTTTGGTAGTGGGACTAGAAAGATAAAGGCTGAGTTGAAGTGTCCGTGTGGACAAATTCCCAGCTTTGAATATCTGTTTTATGTAGGGAATGCCAGCAGCATGAACAGAGTTGACGTGGTCACTTCGCTGTCCATAGCTGTACCGTTTGTAGAATTAAGAAACATCAGATGAACAGTTTGGTTCAGAGGGAAGACTAAGTCCCCTTAGAACATGATTCTCTGGAGCTGTGATGAGAAGATACCTACAGGAATCTTACAAGTAGTAAGGGAAGAGAAATGGGATGTGGGAGAAGGTAGGGGAGAGACATAGTGTTCTGGAGTTTGCTGGTTTGTTGGGGGGGGTTCTCATTGGAGCTGTGAGGTTGAATAAGTAGTCTAGAATGGAATTTGTAAAGATGAATTTAAAATTAGTTGAAGATAGATTTGATGAAAAGGTAGTTGAGGGCTTTCAGAAAAGAGAGAGAGGAATAGGTACAGAGATACAGGTTTCCATGATTCAGAGAGGAATGAGGCTTCAAGATAGCAAACAGCCTCAAATGTTGTATGCTGAAGAAGAGCTGACAAGGAACTTGAAATTACAAGCTGCTGAGAGAGGAGTCATTTGAAGGAAGCCAGATTACATCCACCGTGAATTAGTTGTGACTTCAGGAAGTGGGAGCAGTAGGATCACTTTTTTCAGGAGGTTAGCAATAAAGTGAAATTGAGCATCTCTACGGTAGACTTACAAACACAACTACTTGCTTATTTATTTAGTTAACATTTTATGGTGCTGGAGATTGAAGACATGAAGGAATTGAAGGAATCTTGCATTCTAAGCAAGTCTTCTACCACTGAGCTAGGTCCCTAAGGCCTATACACAGACCTTCCAGTGTTAAATATTCTTTTCTGATCATGTCATTAAGGGGAGTTTTGTGTGTGTGTGTGTGTGTGTATGTGTGTGTGTGTGTGTGTGTGTGTGTGTGTATACAATGCAAAATCCTGCTCTACATTAACTTCCCACGCTTCCAAAGTAGAGTTACAGAATGTATTTAAAAATATATGCTAATTTTTTAATTTTATGTGTATGAGTGCTTTGCCTGCAGGTATGTTTGTACAACATCTGTGTTTACAGTGTCCATGAGACTACAAACAAGGGTGTCAGACTCCCTGAAACTGGAGTTCTGGATGTCAGTGTAGCATTATGTGGATTCTGGGAACTGGGTCTTCTGCAAGAACAAGTGCTCTTAACTACTGACTCATCTCTTCAGCTCCCACAATGAGAAGTTTGAAGTGTGGACTCGAGAGTGTGCAGGATAAAAATGGCTTCCTGGGTTATGGATACCTAAGGACCACAGACTTCACAAAACTCCATGGGGATAAAATGAAATTAATTGTTGGAGCAGAAAAATCATAAAATGAAAGCTAAGGCAAGGATTCAAGATGCAAAAAAAAAAAAAAAAAAAAAAACCCAAACTGGAGACAAATTCCCCCCAACTGAAACACACCATTTTGAGCCATGACTTGATATAGAGTTTCCTTCTCTCCTTCCTCTTTTCCTTCTCTCTCCTTTCCCCTCCCCTTCTTTTTTCTCTACCACCCCTCTCTTCTCTCCCTACCCACATCCCTCTAGCAAGCAACGTGGACAATTTTAAGAGAAGCTATCTTTAGGATTTCAGGCTCATTGCCCCGGCCCCACCCCACCTCTCTCTTTCTCTCTCTGCGCTAAGCTGGGGGAGGAGGGTAAAAAGAATGTGGTCTGTGAGTCTGTATCTCAGGAATCATTTCAAACCAAACAGTTTCTAAGTATTTGCTGTCTGGACTGGAAATGGGGGCAGGGAAGTGGGCAGAACTTTGGCTGAGGGGCCATTTGTCATTTCCTGGGAGGTGCTCAACATTTAACCCTTCAGAGAAGAACTTTAAATAGATTGTACGCTTTGGTTAAAGCAGGTCCAACCCTGGGCTATTTTTTTGTTCCGGCTTTTCAGAATCTTGTTTTTTTTCCTTACACTTCTTGAGAGGATGGTTGCTTTCTCTTCAAGGGAAGCAGGTGGTGGTGCCATGTGGAAGACGAGGGACAACTAGAGCGTGTCGCTTCTGTGGGCTCACACTTAGTTGTGATAATCCAAGACAGTACCACACTGCACTGATCGCTTCTACATATGGATTACTGCGTAGAATTACGCTGTGTGTATGTTTTCATAAGAAAATCTTCATAAAACCAAGCGAGTGCCTGGCGTTTATCTGGGAGGTGCAGGGCAAGAAAGGGTTACACGAGCCTGTCTGGTCTTGATATGTAACAGCTGTGAGAAAGTACAGCATCTGCCTCACACTTAGCTCTGAGGTGCACGAAGTGACTCGCCCATCTCCTATCCCATCCCCCAGGGCTCCTTCCACTTACTAAGATTCCCTGCAAAGTTCAAATCTGGTGTAAACAAAGGCAGAAGCTTTGGGATAGCCAAACACAAGATGGCGTTGAGAAAAGTAGGTAGCAAAAGCTTTGCGAGCTTCAAGAGGAGCCATTTGTGCGTTGTTTTCGGAAAGGAAGCTTGCATGTGGTGGCCATACAAAGAAAATGAGCTATAACTGAAGACCCCAAACCAGAAGTCACCTGTAAGCCAGGAAGGTCCACACATTCAATTATGTGAGCAATTGGGCAGCTTTTTGCCCTATGCACTCACAGCAGATAACAACTTCCATGGCCCCTCTAATCAGTGTCTTACAGAACTGACCTTGCTTGCTACAAATAAACAGGGACACAAAGATGAAGTGTTCACCGAAAGGCACACCCTCAGGTCAGCATAATAACCACTTAGGTTGTGGAGAAATCCACAAGATTCATGAGGTCCTTTACTAAACACACCGAGGAACTATAGATTACATTTTCTCCAGGTCTGAAACAGCGCTTTAAATAGCACTCAGGAAGAGAGGGTAGAATGGCAAACCAGGCTTTCCCCCTGTCTCTCCCTCTCCCTGCCCCCCTCCTACTCCCCTCCTCCCTCTCTCCTGCTCTCTCTCCTGCCCCCCCTTCTCCCCCCTCTCCTGCTCCCCCCTCTCCTGCTTCCCCTTCTCCTGCTCCTCCTCCTTCTCCCCCTTTCCCTCTCCCCCTTTCCTGCTCCCCTTTCCCCTGCTCCCCCTTCCCTTGCTCTCCCTTTCCTGATCCCCCTTTCCTGATCCCCCCTCTCCTGCTCCCCCCTCTCCTGCTCCCCCTTCTCCTGCTCCCCCTCTTCTGCTCCTCCTTCTCCTGCCTTCCCTCTCCTGCTTTTCCCATCTTCCCTTCTCACCCCCTCCTGCTCTCCTCATATCCTCCTCCCTCTCCCCCCCCAACATAAAGTGTAAAAGTTATCCTCATTGATTGAATAAAATAATTTAATTTCCGAGGATAGTGTGAGTGGAGCTAACTTGCTACTTTTCTGAGGCTGGGGAGAAGAGGGAAGGAGGAGATTCAGGAAGAGGAGTTAGAAATGGGAGGGAGGGAGTTTTTCAGATGCCTGCAAGGAATGGTCCTGGTTTGGAGGCTGAGCACCAGCTTCCTCTGGGAGGAGCCTCTTGAGCCACGCTGGCTTCATTTTGGAAGGGAGGTCTGCGGAGCTATGGCCAGGCAGGGTTCCAGCTGGTCAGCTATGTGGCACTGCTGCTATTGTTGAACAGAATTCTTTCCCTATGACACATCTGTCTTCTCAATTTAATAGAAACTACAGCTCTCAGTACTTTTCTTGCCCTGAACTTGAAGAAAATCAAAAAAGAGAAAGTCTTTTACCCTCATTTTGTAAGGAACTCTTTGCTGACCCTGTCAGGTGAGGCTGCTGTGTATAGGGAGAATTTTAAGAACACAGGAAGAGAAGCACGTTTGATCACTCCCATCCGATAGATATTCAGAACGAACCCATCATTTATCACGGAGAGCAGTCTGTTAGTTCTGATCGGCTGTGTTTAACTGACTCTGTGTGGAGCCTTGCTTTAAATTGGTTGTGGAAATGTAATGATCAGTGTCCTATTGCTCCAATTCTGCGAGTTAAGTGGTAGCTTCTGCAGCTAGGTTATTAATCTTTTGACAAATTACGAAAATCCTGGCAAGAAGAGAGATGAGAGAAGGGTAGGATCCCTGCGCAGTATCGCCTGCATCATCTGTGAATCAGGAGCAATGTTTTATCAGCCTACACATATGGAGTGATGAGCAGAAGCATCGCCTGGGAATTGATCAATTGTTTTTTTAAAACCAGGTGGAAGGCTTTGCAAATTATAAGTCAGGGCTTCTCAACAGGAAGAACAGGAAAGACATCTCTTAGACTTTGAAGTAAAGATGGTAGCCACATTTGAGGACACTGATTCATGCATGGTTTGAATCTGGGGCCTCAGTTTCTCATTAATAAAATCCCCCAATAAGAGAGAACTTTGTGTGGTTGTTTATCATCAAGGTCATATTCTTACCTGTTCTGGACCTAACACAAGACACATCAAAATGAGATTTCGGAGTTAGACTCAGTGACCTGAGGTTTAATGGAGTCTGATTCTAACTGATGTTTATGAAGCTCTGAGCTGGTATGCCTACTGGTCACGTGGTCATTTTGCTTTCCTCAGTTGTTACAGAATTATCCCCTCTCAGCCTCTCCCATCTTATCTCCTCATCCTGTTGTGCACTGACATCAATCTACTGGGGAGCTGTTTCTTCTTCAGAATGTCTCAGAGACTCCAGCTGCTGAGCCTGTATATCCGGACAGCTAGTCTGCCTAAAAGGGGCTGCAGCTACGATGCACAGCCACAGAGAAGAATATACTGGGGGGAAGAAGGAGTGGCAGAGAAACGTGGACAAGGAAGACTTAAGTTTTCTCCATAGAATTGTCCTATTTGCCTATAGTTAAAATATGCCGTGTGCTGCTGTGGGAAGAGGAAGACTTGGGCAAA